ATAAAAAGATTTTGTGTGGTCAGGTGACTGAACATTTTTTATTTTCTTGATTATAAAATGTAAATTAAAAATTAAACTTAGGCTAATTCATGAACTGTATAGAATTCAAACTTATTGTTCTTTATCACAGAATTTATTGACATTATATTAGAAACCATCCTAACCCACAGCAACTTTTAATTTTCGACTGATCACTACCATGGGAACACATATGGCTCTGCCTTATGCTAATTTATTTATGGGAAGAATTGATGAGAAAGTAATTGAACAATTTTTAATGTGGATTTCTTTTTATAAACGATATATAGATGATATATTTTTTATTCTTCATGGGCCTCTGGAGAAATTAACACAAGTTTTCGAATTTATAAATACCATCTACCCCATCAAACTTACTTTCAATAATTATACCAATTCTATAAGTTTCATGGACCTAACAATTATCAAAAAGCTAGACGGACAGTTAGAAACAGCAATACACAAATAGGCAACTGATACAACAGCACTGTTACATTATAATTCATTCCATCATCCTCATCAAAAAAGCAACTAAGTATATAGCCAAGTGTTAAGATAAAATAAGATTATATCGAACAATTAAAACCAAATAAAAGAGCTACAACAACTAGCACAAATTTTAGTTTAGTTTATTATTAAATCTACTAACAAATTCCCTAAAAAAATTCCCTATTATATCTACTAACAAAGGTTCTACGACATACACAACACAAACTTATCTGCAACAATTATAAAGAAGAAAGAGAAAAAAAGAGAATTTTACAGATGGTTACAACATTTGGAAAAGTTGAAAAACTCATCAATAAAATAATAAAAAAGCACTGGAATATTTTTGAACAGGATACTGATCTTAAAAATAACTCCACCAACCACCTATTGAGAGTTATAAAAACATTAAATCGATCAAGAAACTTCTAATCTAGACGGCGCATAAAAAAACATAACAACAACAACAACAAGATAGTTTTGTCTTTTATAAATCATACAATAATATTATTATAATAATATATATATATATATATATATATATATATATATATATATATATATATATATATATATATATATATATATATATATATATATATATATATATATAAATAAAGTAAAGCCCTTTTTAATTTAAATTACTTTAAATCTCTACTTAAAAAACAAATAAAAAAGACAAAAGTTAAAAAGAATTTTTTCTTCATTCTATTATTTTTAACAAAACAGCATTTTTATCTTTTTTAAAAAAAAAGTGTTGCTCCAAATTAACTTATTAATAATGAATTAAATAATTATTTTATAAACATTTTTATATAATTATTTTTACTACGTTAAGTATAATAAAATATATATTAATTCATTTTATTAAACAAAATTTCTATTAGTAAAATTGTACTAATAGAAACCAGCAACTTTTATGCTTTTACCTTTTTTGCTTTTAATGACCTTGAAACTATTGAAGTTATATTTAGTTAACTTTACTGAATGGATAGAGTATATCACAGACAAATTGCAAGTCAAAATAAAAATTATAAAAAAATTTAAATTAAATTTATTATATTATTTTACTTCTGTTCAAAAAAAATTTTTTCTGAAAAAATAATTTCAGGATATTCTTATACTTAATATAATTCGATTTATTAAACAAAATTTTCGTTTCACTTTTTTTTTAAGAAAACAATTAGAATAAAAAAAAAAAATGGAATGAAAACATCAGATTAAAAACCTTTTGAATGAAAAACTTAATTATACTTAAATTTTTAATAGTACGCTTGATCAGGAAATGATAAATTATAAGACTTGGTATCGAATATTTTTTTGCTTTGATCTTACTTGTTTGGTCTATAGATTATAAACTCCTATAGGCGCAATTATGAAGTTTTGTTTTAGTTTATTAACTAGCTCTATTTTATTTATTTGCTTCCTATTATTTTAAACGCGTTTTATTTTATAAACTGTATAAATCAAAACAAAACAGCATCACAAATTTGTTTTACATTATTCCAAGCTCTTCATATTTATAAAACAACTTTGCAGTTTGTTTTAATGTTGTTTTATAGCTTTTAACAATTAAATACTTTTTAAAATTAACACGTGTTTTAACGTCAGCATGAACGTATTAAATAGTTTTCTTTGACTAATTAAAGTGGTTTAGATATTATAATGTTGCTTTTTCTCTTACTTTTTTACTTTTACTTTTTTAAGTATCATGTTAAGTAAAAATATACTTGAAGAAATATCTTAATAGTATTAAAAACGCTATTGCTTATTACGACTGCAACTTAAACTTTAAGTTATAACTTAAGTTGTAAATAATAACAGTAACTTACGCTATTTTAAATTCTTCCAAATAAGAAAATTATAAGATTGTATTTAAATATGAGAGATAATATGTTAAAAATAGAACAATTACGTACAAAACTTACAATTATATACTAACGCAACTTCCCTCCTTTCCCCCATTATTGCAAAGCGGCACAAGGTATAAAAGGGGGGGGGGGGGTTGTGAATTTTTTTTTTTTTTGAGATTAGATTTTTTTGCGTTTCGAGCCCTGCTTATATATTAACATATTTATATATATATATTTACATATTTATATATATATATATATATATATATATATATATATATATATATATATATATATATATATATATATATATATATATATATATATATATATATACACACACACACACACATATATATATATATATATATATATATATATATATATATATATCCTTATAGTGTAATCGAAAGAGACTTTTATGGTAAAAAAAGTCTCTTTCAACTACAATTTTTTACCTTGTCTCTTAAGCTGCATTTTATTGTTGTCGAAATGTCAAAGCAATTAAATTAATGTGGGAGTACATTACATTTTATTGTTTTTTATAAAAACTGCAATAATAATGACTAGAAAGTTTTTTATAATTAGTGGTGTTTTTGTTTTTGTTTTATTAAAAAACATTTTAAAAACATGCGTAAGTGTTGCTTCATCAACTATCTTATAGCCTGCTGCTACAAGGGAGTGTTGCTACATCAACAATCTTACAGCCTGACTTGCAAGGGAGTGCTGCTACATCAACTGACAAATAACCTGACTCGCAAGGGAGTGCTGCTACATCGACTGACAAATAGCCTGACTCGCAAGGGATTGCTGCTACATCAACTGAGGGTTTGGTTTGGGCAGGCAGTCTATCATTTAAAAAAAAAAGTTTTTGAAGTTTTTTAACATTTTCTGGTCAGGCTTATTAACGCGCTTTTTAAAACAGTTTATAGGAAAAACTTTGTGACTACTATGCAAGACTATATATATATATATATATATATATATATATATATATATATATATATATATATATATATATATATATATATATATATATATATATATATATATATATATATATATATATAAAACTTGATAATTTTTAAAGTTTTATACACATATAAAACTTGATAATTTTAACAGGATATAATCCTTTATTATTGACAAGAAACGAATAGAATTGTTTATACAATTAACATAAATTAAATACAAAAGAGAACCAAGAACATAACCTTGAGGAACACCGCACACAACAGATTTATTAGTAGAATTATAACCATTAATTCTTACAAATTGCTTCTGTAAGATAAGATCAAAACCAGCCACTTACATCACCATGAATACCATGGTGTTTTAAAAAATCAAAATGTTATGATCAACTGTATCAAAAGCTTTTTGTAAATCTAATGAATTTGATACCATTGTTAGACTCTCCGTTCGATTCTCTATCGAACTGACATATGATATATGACGGCTGACGTATAGTTTGTCTCTAAACAACGTTTTTCGGTCATTAGGAATTGTTTTTTGACGTAGTTTTTTGAAATTTACTGACAAACAACACGACAGCCGTCAAATCTGTTTGCAATTATATACTCACCGTTTGATCCTCTATTGAATGGATGTATCACATGTGACGGCTGCTGTATGGTTTGTCTCCAATTGACGTTTTTCTGTTGCCGCCCCTCAAATTTTTGCATCAGTTTTTTGCAGATTAGAGACAAACTATATAGTTTTATCAAATTCTGTTTGCGGCATTGATCATGTATTATACATCATTTCGATAGATAATTCAATGCTGAGATTGTATTGAATGGTTTGTAACAATGTTAAAAGACTGAATCACACTAAGCCAACATGTAAAAACGTATAGATTATGAAAAAAAACAAATCATGCTTTAAATGAAACTAAACTTAAAAATAAAAACATAATGCATGCATTAAAGAATAAACTTGAGGTTTGAAAAGTTTTATTTACACAAAGCACGAACACAAAAAATATAATTTAACTTAACCCCTTAAATGATTAAGGTATTCATTAGTGAAGTACAGATACAAAAGACTGATAGTGGCTACTAATAGGGTTTAATATATGTATATAAAGGTAATATATCAATTTTAGGTATGCAATTTACATATATAAGTTGGGTCTATACACCACTAGTGGTTTGACCTGTAAGCTAATGTTGATGCCTATACAATTATTTGGCTTAAATATTAGCTGACTAATCAACCAATTATTGGCCAATAGTTGAGCTGATAATTTGGCATTTGCCAAGGCATGGACATTAGCTTATAGGCCAAACCACTACAGGTGCATGAACGTATCTTATATATGTAAATTACATATCAAATATTGGTATATTACCTTTATATACGTATATTCAACAATATTATTAGCCACAATCGGCTTTTTTAATAGATACATCACTAGCATCTATGGTTTATATTTATTTAAAATAAATTTAAAAAAATATTAACATAAGATATTTAAAAAAATAATAAATTTGATGTGTAGTATTTTTACATTGTAATAAAAGTCTTAAAAATAATGAATAATCACTGAATGAAATCTGACACCATTTTTACTTAACTTTCTAAGCTAACAAAGCACACTGAAATTCAACAATTAATTTGGAAACTAGTAAATTAAATAATTACCTTTGTTGGTAGAAAATCTAGTAGAACTTTCTGGTAAATTTGAAGTTTCTAAATGATATATTTAAGTTATTAATAAATAAACATAAACTTTTACAAAGTAAAAAAAAAGAATATAAAAAATAGTGCTTATAAATATCATTTATAATGTTAAAGTGAAATTTTGTATAAAGAAGGCATTAAAAGAAAGGCATCAACAATAAACTTTTATGAGGTACAAAACAGGTATTCAAAAAATAAGAATTTTATTGTTAAAGGTTGTTTTCTTTACACCTGCCTATAAATGTTCAAAGTAAACAGACAAAGAGAACTTCATTTGGACATTAAAAAGATGTCTTAATAACTTGTCAAACTTTGTTTGTTAACTGATTTTAAACATAAATCAACATTTACATGTTCTCTATGTCAACTCAACAAATTCATAACATTGACAACACAACTATTAGAAGAACCCAATAATCAAAACTTCTTGGAATGTTTAACAATGAAAACTATGTTTAAAACTCAAATGTTTTCTAGAATTCTCATTTAAATATATATACCAGGCTTTCCCACGAAAGACGTGCGATCGCACGCCTTGTTTGTCCACGCATAGAATAAATTTTTCTGACTAACTGACCACGTTTTATTATTATGCATTTCAAGAACTCGTGCCAAAACAAAGCTTAACGAAAATACCGCAAAAATGCAAGCAATCTTAAAGTAAATAACAGAAATCTGTTTGTGCTTTAAAATTAAAAAATTCATGTATATTATTAAAAAAAAAATTTACCTATATTTTATATTTTTATTTAGTGGTAGTTATTTAAGCTATGAAAAATCAAATCAATAAGAAAAATCAAATCAAAAAGAAAAAGATTAATGTTTAAAGAAAATAAAAGGACCTTTTAATGTAAAATTTGTTTATGACTTTTATCAGTCGGTAATACTTTAAAATTCACGCTAGAACTATAAACAATTTTTAAATGTTTCGAAAATACATTTAAATGTTTAAATGTATTGATTTTAATGTTTGAATGTATTGATACGCAAGAAAACACGAAAACGATTGCTATTTATTAGTAAAATATGTTTGTTTGTTTTTTAAATGAAAGAAAATTTTATTGTCAAACAATTGAGTTGCTTTTTTTGCAATCATTAATTGACATTGTGAACGAGTGTTAATATATAATAATGTCCCGAAGGAACTGTTTTCGTAACAATGACAACAGAAGCAATGCAATTATTTTTTTAACTTCTTTCATAATTACAAAATTATGCAATTGAATAATTTCAACGTAATAAAAAGCGAGCATTGACTCAGTATAATCAGTTTTGAATAAGTCGAGAAAGAACTTTTATCACATTAACATTTTGTTATGTTTAAAATCTCAAATAATATTTTTAATAATTAAAACAGCAATTTATTTTCTTGTCAAAGTATTAGGGAATAAAGTCATCGCCTTTGCATAAACCTTCGTAAAAACTAAATTAAATGAAAAAGTTTAACTAAATATGTCTAGCGTAAATACTGAATCAGTTTTTTAATACATTGTCTGATAAAGTTCGTGAATAAATTACGTATCAAGTCTTTTTATTTTCGTGAAAACTTTATGACTTATTGTCGTCTTTTCCTTGACTTGTATCAAATTTCGTAGCTGAAAATAGCAACCCTAATAAAAGAAAACAAAAACAGTATAAAAATTTGAAAAAAATTTTCAAGACATTTTTTTTTTTTTTTGTTACAAGAATTTATTATTTTTTATTATCAAAATATTTTTCTTACATCCAATTTCAATTTTATACTTTGTTTAGACTTTGTTTCATTTTTTTAATATTATTTTTTATTTTCTGTGGATAATATCCACTTTCTTACGAAATAATGCCACGGTCACGTTTTCTGAAAAATTTATTCTATGCTTGCAAGGCGTGCAACCGCACGCCTTTCCTGGGAAGGCCTGATATACCTATAAATGTTCAAAGTAAACAGACAAAGAGAACTTCATTTGGACATTAAAAAGATGTCTTAATAACTTTAATGATCAAACTTTGTTTGTTAACTGATTTTAAACATAAATCAACATTTACATGTTCTCTATGTCAACTCAACAAATTCATAACATTGACAACACAACTATTAGAAGAACCCAATTATCAAAACCTCTTGGAATGTTTAACAATGAAAACTATGTTTAAAACTCAAACGTTTTCTAGAATTCTCATTTGATGAAAAATATAAATAATTTTTTCACATGTCTAATTATAAAAATATTGTGTTCTGCAAATTTTGAGAGAAAAAAGAAATGATAATTTGATGATTGTCTATTTTATTTAGATAACAAAATGACTCTTAGTATGAATCTTTATCAAAGTCTAAATAAAAGTTTTTTTTTTAAGGGAGGTGGAGGGGGGGGGAATGCGAAAGGTGGACTTTTTAGGGAAAAAAAGATATATATATCAATGAAGGGGCTATCCTAGACCCTTTTTCGATAGCGTTGATCATATTTGAGCGTCGATTCCGGCGCGATCAAATTAATTTAAGGACCTTTCTTATTTATTTTTTTAAGTTTTTTGATGTTTTTTACAGTGAATAATGTATTTTTAGCAAAAAAAGGCATATGTTCTGCTAAAGTTTGGTGGAACAAGGGGGTACCACCACCCAAATTTTCCTAAAATAGGCCCTATATATATATATATATATATATATATATATATATATATATATATATATATATATATATATATATATATATATATATATATATATATGTATATATATATATATATATATATATATATATATATATATATATATATATATATATATATATACATATATATATATATATATATATATACATATACATATATATATATATATATATATATATATATATATATATATATATATATATATATATATATATATATATATATATATATACATATATATATATATATATATATACAGGGCCTATTCACAAGAGCCTAATTTTTGTGATGAAATCACAAATCACTTTCACATTTCATCACAAAAGTTAGGCTCTCGTGAATTCTGGAGAATCTTTAATAGTATCAGTAATAAGGGCAAGCCTGTAATTCCACCTCTTTTGTATGGTCCAGACTTTGTCACCTCACCTGAATTGTTTGCTAAGAACTTTTCATCAATATCATCTCTTGACTCCACTAGTTGCGCTCTACCTGATATAGCCGTCAAACAGGTTGATCCATTGTTCGACATCCATATCACTACAGCTTCTGTATTTAAAGTGATTTCCTGCTTAGACTCTTCTACAGCTTGCGGTCCGGACAACATACCTATTATAATCCTGCAGAAGTGTTCTCCGAACATGTCGTCTATCCTTTCAAAACTATTAAACAAGTGCTTATCAGAGACTTGTTTTCAAGCCTGCTGGAAAGCAGCATCTGTTATCCCTATTTTTAAAAATTCTGGAGAGCGATCCGATTCATCTAACTAATGTCCCATTAGTCTTCTTCCTATCATAAGCAAGGTTTTTGAATCTTTAATTAACAAACACTTAATCTCTTATCTTGAATCTCATAACCTACTTTCTGATCATCAATATGGATTTCATTCTTCTTGTTCTACGGCTGATTTGCTAACAGTAATAACCAATAGGTTTTATCGCGCATTAGATAAAGGTGGAGAGGTTAAGGCCATCGCTCTTGACATTTCTAAAGCATTTGACAAAGTTTGGCATGCTGGTCTTCTCCATAAGCTTTCTTCTTACGGTGTATCTGAAAACATCTTTAAGATTATTGAAGTCTTTCTTTCCAATCGAAGTATAAAAGTTGTCCATGATGGAAAGCACTCTTCTTCTTATTCTGTAACCTCAGGGGTTCCTCAAAGTTCAATTCTTGGCCCTATACTCTTTTTAATTTACATTAACGATCTTCCAGATATTCTCACAGGGATGTACACAATCGTGGTCGCCCGATGGCACAAGGCGACCGAATATTGTGAAGGGCGACTCAAAATATTTTTTTTATGCAATCAAGTCGCCGGAAAGGGCGACTAATGATTTTTATCGGCAATTCTATTTTTTTTGTGTGTAATTTAAGAGATTTAAAATATGCTAAGTAACTAATGCAATAAGTAACTAAAATAATAATAAAACTCTATTTTAAAAGTCATAATGCTAAAGTTTATTTACCGCATTTTCTATTGTTAATTAAAAAATACAAGTAAAATAAAAACAAAAAGGTTTTATCGTTTAAACATTCTTTTTTTTTATATTTTAATTAAATTTTAGAGATATGTAATTCTCCAATTATTTTAAAACAATTTATTTAACCATCAAACGTATATTATTTTAAACTATCGCTAAAATCGGTTTAAATAGAGTAGATATTTATTTCAGTTCCAATCATTTTGTTTACAATTAAGTTGATTATTAAGTTGAATCTAGAAGACGAAGGAATTAGTACATATAGAAGATGAAATATCTCAACTATTCAGCGATAGTGACAACAATAACGATGAATGCAATTTTGAAGGTTTTCTAAGTAAAGAAGTGCCAGACGACTACAATAATGAACTAATAGTACATGCAAAATATATAGCGCCTCTAATGGTAGGTTTAGTTATGGATGGCGTTAATGTTTTAACTGGACGGAGACATAGTGTTCAGCAACAGCTAAAAAATAGGTGCAACATTTTTCTCGCTTACACACATTGTTTGTCGCACCGATTGCAGCTGGCACTGAAAGATGCAGCCAGCACTTCAAAGGAACTCCTAATTTTGCAGCTATTTTGTAAGCAACTCTTTATTTTTCATCGAAATTCTACTGTTATATCAGCGGTTTGTTGTAACGCTTGCAAAGTTTATGGTGTAAAAGGTATTTTAAGAATTAAGTCTAGTTATATTGACAATATCTTAACGTACTTTTACTTATTATTTTTAGGTAGTATTAACAATCAAAATTTATATTAATTAATTTAGGCAATTTTATATTTATTCAATTTAGTATTTTAATTTTTAGGCCAAATGCAGTGTCATACGAGTTAATGGTACCAGATGGGTTGCGCATATAGTAAATGCGTTGGAGAA